AGTAATAAAAAAAAATTTGGGGCTATTATTAGGCTGCTCCAAACTTGGGAACAGCTAATAATAATAACCTTAGAGACTGATCCTGACAGCATGTCAGATCTCACTAAAGCTCTTTTATTGTGCCTAAACGATCAGAAATGATAAATTTCAAGCAAAGAGATACATTGTATCTCTTTGCTTGAAATGTATCACATAGCTTCATAAACATCTGGCCAGTCTATGGAGCTGTCAAAACAAATAACAGGGAGGTGAGACACTCTGCTGCCTCTCTGCTATTTTCAGCTGTCGAATACCGGAGTGCTATTTAGCGCTCCCGTATTTGCATGTAACGGCTTCATTCTTTCATTAATGAAAGAAATAAGCTTTTACAACAGCTTAACTATTTCATCAATGAATGCCTCAATACTGAGGCATTCATTAATGACTGGTAACCGCTGAGAATCAGCAGTTACCGGCATTACAGAGCCTGATATAACTCGTCACGTACAGTGTACGTGACCAGTCAAATAGGCACAAAGTGACGGGACGTACAGTGTACGTCTCCCGGCACGAAGGGGTTAAAACAAATGATAATATATTTAACAGTTCTAATATAGTTTAGAGTACTAATCATTAAAATTTAAGAGCAATAAAATTCTTCACGAATCTTTATTATAACTTCAACAAACCTAAAGAAGGTAACTGCTTTTGAATTCTATGTTTATTACGGTGAGGGCATGGTGTATTTTTTGTATTTACAACAAAAATATATGTTAGAACCAATAACTAAAGCATGCCTACCCTTAGCAATATCTTCATCCTCTTTATTTTTGCTGGGTACTGTCCCGATCTTAGGTGTATTTGACGTGCTCTGTGGAATAGAGAGGTCTTTATCAGAAAGGATGTACATTATCAGAAGAGAGAAGAAATGAGCAATGGCATATCCATCCCATCTATGAAGCAGGCCCACTACACAGCACACGTATCCCACCTGAGTGCCAGCTGTTGGGAAAGTCACTCCTTCTTCCTTCAGAGATTTAATGGTGGCCGATATCAGGCTGAACTGGGGATCTTTCTGGAATTCTTCTGCCCATTCCACCATCAAAGCTTTTAGTTTCTCAGCTACTTTGGGGTGTGCCTAGGAGGAGTAAAAGAAAATTAGATATTTTTTTTTAACTCATTGTAATATTGTTTCCTTTGAGTCACTTGAAGGACACAGAAAGTCTTGGACCTTGGCAAACATAAAAACTGTAGGCCAGCCCAGGATAACCCTTCCTACTGCCAACATGCCTTAGTTTTTTACTAGTGTCCTAAGAGAATGGATGTCTTTTCTTCAACACTGCTGTGTAAAAGACAAACCTATTCTGAGAACACCTTTTTACGCTTCAATATCATTTTATTCATCCTCTTCTCTACACCTCTGCTAGAGCTTGTTTCTTGGACTGCAGCTATCCGGTGTGTCTGTCCTTAACCAGGCCTTTGAAGTACCATGTGCGAACTCTGCTGCACTGGACGTTGCAGGAATAGCCTAGAAGTGACGGTTGGGCACTGGGTTCCACACTGGATACTTTCCGGACGGCATTCCTATAAAAAGTTGGTTGCAGAGCACTTTCAATGGATAGGCTGGCATTGCTTCAGAGCTTGCCCTATCTCTGAAGACTCGCTTTGTGAGCCAGCTAGTCAAACTAAGCACCAGGAGCTACCTTGGGTACTTGCAATAAGTTGCCAGATGCCTTTAAAATTACACATTTCCTGCTGCTCATCACTGCGGAAGGGGTTAATGCTTTAGGAATGAGTGCTGACGTCATCTACTGAGTGGAGTGTTGCACACACTCCCTGGAAAGTGTTCTGCAGCTAACCTTTGACTAGAATTGAGTTTGGGAAATGCCTACACGGAACCAAATAACCAAAAGTTAACTTCCAGGCTATCCCTGCAACCCCCAGTCCAGCAGGTGGCAAATGTGGTACAACTGTCTAGAATTCCTTTGTGTGCTTTAGAATGAACTGCAGGCTTCACTGGAAACACCTGAACTCAATCATTTGGAGGGGTGTTCTCATTCTTTTGGCCACTCTGCCAACTTACTGAACACCAACTATTCCTCATTTTGCGTATATTTCCTGCCATACTGTACCACATACTACGGTAAGTCATTATAGCTACAATCTATGTGGCAACACACTACATGGCATGACCATAGCTGTTCAACCTAATCCCATTGCAATCCCTCAAACAATTAAAGTGACATTAAACCCTCAGATTTTTTAACATAAACCTATGTGTGCCTTACTGTAGTCCATGGTTGTTTCCCTTCACTTTGCTGCTCTTCCTTTAGTGCTGGCTCAGGTTGTGAACCTTCACACAGAAACAATGTATCCATTTCAGAGACAAGGCAGTCTGCTGCAAAACAGAAGTTCTGCCCAGCATGAGAACAGATACAGATTTAAAAAGGAAGAGCAGCAAAGAGAAGGGAAACAACCATGGATTACAGTAAGGCACACATTACAGTATTGGGTTATGTTACAAAATCTGAGGGTTTAATGTCACTTTAAGATCCCCTGTTTAGGGCCTCTACAAAAATCCCCATATGTGCAGCAGTAGCAGGGAAAACCTACTTCGATCTTCAGCACTTCAACGTGTACCCAAATAATTAAATCTGAGACTTCTATCATTGGTCCGATTTAAAAATAAAACTAAAGTCTATGTGGTCCAACTGGCTGTCCTCTCGGGGAGGGAGGCGCCTGAGTAAACACCCTATATGTGTACTACCCTCAGGGGGGTACTCGTTATGCCTGTCCCACTAATATTGTACCAGTAGGTGTGAGTTGCGAGGGGTATTGAGTGTACAAGATATTTCTGTGCCGTTGGGCGTGTGGCTATTGTCATTTAAATGTGCACCTCCTTTGTACCCTTTTTTTTTCCCCCTCTTTTGTTTGTTATGTTTTTGTCTGTTTTTTGAATAAATAAAAACTATCTGATTTAAAAATAAAAAATAAAACTAAAGCTGTTCTTTTATATAACATCCAAGCAGAATTCTTGCAGCATTTTCCTGAGAATGAAAGATTAAACCAATTGATTGATTCTCCGACGTGCAGTGAACCAGACGTTCTGCGGAACAGAAAGCTTGTTTTTCTCACCAGTATTCTGGAGGAGAAGGCAGGCGATTCAAGGTAAGGCATAGATCAATAAAGGTCTTTGTTAAAAATAGCACATAGATCACTCAAAGGAGAATTATTAGCATACCTTATTTATAACTCCTCGCACTTCACTTGCGAAGTCTCTGGAACAGATTTCTAAATTAAAGGCTTTTCCGCAGTTGGATACGCAGGCTCCTAATAGCTATGAAGACACAGCAAAGGGCATTATGATGGGAGCTGTTTTATAGCTGCAGGATAATCTGCAACTGACAATCAATGAGGAGAGCAGAGGACTTACCGTCAGTGCTTGTAGAGCTACGTGGGGGACTTTGTGATTCACTCTTTTCATTATAGCTTTAAGACCTTCTTTAGATCTAAAATTAAAAGAAAAAGGATTAATTAATTAGTCAAATTACATGATGAATTTTAGGGCTGCAACAACTAATCGATTATTGAAAAAGTTGTCAACTTTTTCAATCATCGATTAATCGGCTTCCGATTGGTTGCCCCTGTTCACAGCTCCACACACGCTGTGCGCCACACTTCCTCCCCACCTCACGCTCGCCGCTGCCAGACCCGCCCGCATCCACGCTCCACACGACGCACCTCCTCCACGCCTCACTCTTACTGCCCGCCCACATCCACGATCGGCACAGGGACGCGGGGAGAAGAAGTAAGGAGGAGCAGGTGTGGGCGGATGACAGCCACCGATAGACAGGTCCGATCTCAGAAACAAGTTGCTGGAAGACTGCTCAGGTAAGCCTGCACCTGCCCACACATGGTGCTCTATAATGTATTGCTGGGATTTGGATTCCTCTATAGCTGATGGTACATTGTGCTGTATATTATACAGAGCAATGTACCATCAGCTATAGAGGAATACAAATCCCAGCAATACATTATACACTGTATATATAATGCATTATTGCTGGGATTTGTTGTATTCCTATATAGCTGGTGGTATTCTGCATTGCGCTGTGTAGAGGACTACAAATCCCAGCAATAATGCATTATACAGCGCAATGCGGAATACCACCAGCTATAATGTACTATTGCTGGGATTTGTTGTATTTCTCTATAGCCGGTGCCATTCTGCATTCATTGCTGTACAATTTTACACTTTCCATTTCACTATATTGCACACCACACTTTTTTTTTTTCTTTTTTACTTCCACCGCTCCAAGCTTGCTCCTGTGATGGACTACAATCTCAATACAAACTAGTAGTCCCATCACTAGAGCCATTTTAAAAAATATATTTGATTTGATTTTTTATCCGATTAACCGATTAATCGAACTTAATAATCGGCTAACTAATCGATTTTGAAAATAATCGTTAGCTGCAGCTCTAATGAATTTATGATTGAGTTGTGCCAAACTAAACCTACATGTCCAGAAAATGTGCCAGCACGATGCCGGAGTAAGTTGAATTATAATAACAGGAAATAATAGGAAATAGTTTTACTGGCCTAGGCAATACAAGATAGTGCTGTGTGTTGAAGTGAGCGCTTAAAGCTTATATATTTTTACTTTGCCTTCCCGGTTTCTCCTTTCTCCCCTCATCAACATTACATTTAAAAAAAAGAAACTTTACATTTTCATTACATTCCTTATTTTAGAAACAGTGATGTTCTCAGTGGGTCTTAATGCTTCTCTATGCAGTGCAGGCAGATCATGGCTGGTGGGAGGGGCCGGCAGGGTGCTGTACATGCTGTACATGATCCCACTCCAGCTCACACACCATTGGCCGTCTGATCCCACTCCAGCTCACACACCATTGGCCGTCTGATCCCACTCCAGCTCACACACCATTGGCCGTCTGATCCCACTCCAGCTCACACACTATTGGCTGTCTGATCCCACTCCGGTAGCACCCACGCAGAAAATTTGGGCTTGTTCATCAAGAAATGGCCGAAATGCGAAGTGCACATCAGGCAGATCAATGGCCATGTGTCTGCACTTGCACAGTCTTTACATTGATAAAACATGGGGAAATGAGCATGTATTGCAGAGATTTACTACATTTTTATTTTCTCTAAAGTACACTTTGAATCTTACCCATTAGGTGTGTTAACAATTTTATCACAGATATCCATAATGAGACCCCAGTCTTCTGCAGTATTGTATTCATTTGTTGCTTTTTCTGGAATAATAAAAATGACAAAGGTTCCAAGTTAAAAACATGCATGCATTTAAAATGGAGAATGCAAGCTATGCAACAATGTATAGAGGAAGAAAGCAAATGTAAGGTGGCATTTTTAGGAAAAACAATTATGGCAGGTTCAGTAACCAGCAGATGCCATTCGGTAGCATCTGGCAAAGGTTCTGCCTGTGTGCCAAGAACTCACAGGTATCTGTTGACAGGAACAAATGTATTCATCTTCAAATGTTGGCCTTGCGTTGACCCTAAAATGACTGCTGATGTGAACACGTGAACAAGTCTTTGAGTTAATCCAGTAACAACAGGAAACAAGCAGTTTGAAGGAAAAGAACAGGCATTATATACTCACTTCCCTGGTGCCCCATGTCACCTATGTTCACACAAATTAAGTTCTACAGTCTCCATCAGAATCTGGCATTCAACACTTCTGGGAGTGTTGGGTGCTTGAATCCCTGCCATGTGCTGTGGTTCTATTTACTAAGCTCTAGGTTACTGTTGTGTCCTGCGGCGACATGGGGGCCTGAAAATGCAAACATAGAACGAATGTGGTGGGCAACACAGGCATTGGACACGCCGGGAAATGCTAAAGAATCTGACAGTGGTTGTAGAGGTAATCCACCGTATCTCTGAAAGCGGACAACCTCTCTTTATACTCCCCACCATGAGTCACACAAGACTGCTGTACACCGCCATTGACAATGCAAAGAACGATGGTAGGCCATAATTCAGAGAACCTAATCAGTAATAGGCTTTCACCAGCTTATAGAAGACAGGGTGTTGAAATATTGATTTCTCATTGATAGCCGTGGGTTAAAAATAGTACCAAACCCTCAAGTCAAAATGCCCCCTCATCTATAAACCTTTGTGTATGTAATGTTATAGCTATAATAGTAACATTTGCTCAAAACTGCGGCAGGGGTTTGGGCAGGAGTGGGTGTTTGATGTTTCTGGCCCTGCACAGCCAGTTGAGGAGCAGACTTATGGTATAACGGTTTAGTTTTAGATATATTAAAAGGGAGGGTTGTAACTAGGGATGCACCGATATATCGGCCAAAAATGGCACTTTTGGCATAATGCCAAAAGAGACATGTTTCGGCCGATATATCTAAAATTAAAACGTTTATAAAAAAAAAATATTAAAAAAAATTGAAAAAATAAAAAAAACATTTTCGGTATCGGTTTCGGCCTGACATTTTTTTGTTATTTCGGTTTTAAAATTTCCATTTCGGTGCACCTCTAGTTGTAACCCATCAGCTTTTTTTTTTTTTTACATCTATGTCCCATTGGGGAGATTTTCTGTCACTTCCTGTCCAATAGCTACAGCTGGAAGTGAGAGGAAATTCCTCTAAAGTGAGAGAATTTCTTGGAGGTCAGCGGGGTCCCCATTGGAAAATTTCCCATCTATTCCTGTTCTCATGACAACCCAAAATGTGGGATTTTCTTTCACTTTCAGTGATTACAGTCACTAGGAAAAATAGAGAGGGAAAATCTCCCCAACGGGGACACAGACACCAAGAAGAACCTTATAATCCATCTCCAGTCTATCCAAAACTAAAAATAAAGGTGTGTCTTCAGTTGCACTTTAATGCCCTTCACAATATGCTACCAAGACTCCTACTATACATCTTGACAAGCATTTCCAGTCCTCATTGCACAACCATCAATATAAGAGATGCGGTCAATCAAACAAGTGGGTGGCATAAGCCAGGGGTGAACTAATTAATATGGAATTCAGAAGCCAGTTTGTCCAATCCGGGAGCCAGCAGGATTTTTTTTTTTTTTTTTTTTTTTTTTTAGGAGTCAGCTCCATTGACAAAAACTGGAGAAAACTTTAAGAGTTAGACGCAATCTGTGATTTTTAAGGAGCATTGCCTTCCTGGCTCCTGGGATTTGTCCAGCCCCAGCATAAGTGGATGGCATTGGAGGACACGTGCTCTGAGAATGGCCATACAACCATGTAGTCCCAACTGGGACTGCACAAAACAGGGTGGTACCCACTGGCGAACTACCAGGGTCGCATGTGTGACCGAGCCCTGGCCTTCCGCCACTGAGGGGGGTTGGGGGACGGAAAGGAAAAAAAAAAGAGAGCCGGCCCTAGTGATGCATTGAATTCTGTTTCCCTTGCCACTCGGCTCTTTCTGCACCCTGCATTTTTATCGCCATTCCCGTTGAGATATGTTCCCCCTGCGGCTTGGCTTTTTGCATAGCCCCACCCCTCTATCGTAGCTCTGCATTTTTACCTCTCTTTCTCCCTCCTTCTTGGCTGTTTGTATGGTGTTCATTTGCATACTTAGAGGTTTCTGTAATAGTCTTTATGTGTGCCTTTGGTTTTTTTACAACACTGGAGGAACTACCAGTGTCACATCGGTCGCATGTATGGCCAGGCCCTAAAATTCCCCCACTTGGGCTGGCCCAGAAAAGAAGGAAGAGAGCCCGACCTTAGTACCCGCCAATGAGCCAAAACAGAGGCTGGTTCCTTTATGGTTTCTTGCACTGGGGCCCTGAGTTTTCTAGTTATGCCTCTGGTGACACCTCTGGACCTACAAGGAGACCATGCTTTCCAGGGTCGTCACCCTGTAGGCAGACATACGTTACTTGGATAGAAAAAAAAAATGTGGTTTTCTGCATAAAAGAGAATCTGAGCATACAAAGAAGACAGGAAATGTAAAACATTGAGCGGCAGTGTATACTAGAACATACTTTTTTTTTTATTATCGGAGGGATTACATACACTTTTATGTCCATTATTGCAAATAATGCCAAATGCGTCAATAAAAAAAAAATATAACAGCAGCAACGGAGGGAGGGAGGGAGCTGCGGCCGGTCTTCACAGCTACCCCGGAAGTAAGATCTAGCGCTATCTTCGGGGATGTCTGTAATATAAGACCTACCGTGTTTCCCCGAAAATAAGACAGTGTCTTATTTTTTTTTTTGCACGAAATAAGACACTAGGTCTTATTTTCGGGGGATGTCTTACCTGGCTGCAGCTGTGCTCTGCCGTCCAGGGAGCCACAAACAGGTGGGCGGGCATGCGTGCGGCCGGGGGGGCGTGTCTGGCAGGGGGGCGGGAGGGAGCTGCCTCTCCGCTCGGAACTAAGGAGACGAGGGGGCGGGCATGCGTGCTGCTGGAGGGGGGGCGTGTCGGGTAGGGGGCGGGAGGGAGCTGCCTCTCCGCTCTGATGTCGTCATCCAGAGAGCAACAGCGTGCGGGTAGGTGGACGGGCGAGGGGGCGGGAGGGAGCTGCGGCCGGTCTTCACAGCTACCCCGGAAGTAAGATCTAGCGCTATCTTCGGGGATGTCTGTAATATAAGACCTACCCCGAACTAGGTCTTATTTTCGGGGTAGGTCTTATATTACAGACATCCCCGAAGATAGCGCTAGATCTTATTTTCGGGGGATGTCTTACTTCCGGGGAAACACAGAAGTAGCTGGGAAAAAGACCCGATCTTATCTCTTCCATTAATAAGCACATCCCTCCTGTGCTCACATCTCAGTGTGATGAGCCAACGTCTGATGTTTTGAAATCAGGACACAACAATTACTGCAATTCTGACCACGTTCATGTCAGAATACTACCGACATATTTCCAGAAGCAAAAAGGAAACTAAAGCGTACAATGAAACAAAAAAAAATGTAATGTCATATTTAATTTAAAGCCCAACTCTTCCCCTCTCCCATAGACCACAGGTTCCATAGACCTGCTATAGCCATGAGAGGGATATTCCACCAGCACAGGGGTAGAAGAGTGCCTTACTCCAGCCCCTAGGAATAAGCAAGCACCTAACCCTTGTATTGAGGTAGTCCATGTCGGGTTTTTTTTTTGGTTTGCTCCGAGATGGGCTTAAATACTTACTAGTATATGGCAACACCTCAAGCATTTAGGAACATATACATTTACTACCCTGGCACCATTTGTATTCCCATTGACATAAAAAAAGCTGAGGAGGCATTTTTTAGGAAGTCAGAGGACCTTGGCTTCCAATGATAACAACAAATGTCTTCAAAGTGCTACTCGTTGTGATTTTTACTTTACCTTTTGTTGGAATTTGTTCTGCTTGTTAGTAATATTAGTAAACGGCAATAATCAGAACTTCAAAAATTCGGGAGACAGACTCCAGGCCATGTTTGGATGTTTTCTTGTGATTTGACTGCAACACTCACGTCTTCTATATAGGTGACAGATATCCATAGCAGCCGCAAACACTTTTGCTTGAAACTTATCTTTCCTGATTGACGACCAAGTGCTCTGCAGCCACAAAGCTAATCCATAAAAATAATTAAAACATATCTAGACCATAAGACTGATGGTATGAGCGCCGAGGTTGCGGCCAGGCATGGCCCCCGCGGTTGCGGCCAGGCATAGCATGAGCGCCGAGGTTGCGGCCAGGCATAGCTTGGCCGCCGAGGTTGACGACAGACATGGCAAGGCCGCCGAGGTTGACGACAGACATGGCAAGGCCGCCGAGGTTGACGACAGACATGGCAAGGCCGCCGAGGTTGACGTCAGACATGGCAAGGCCGCCGAGGTTGACGTCAGACATGGCAAGGCCGCCGAGGTTGACGTCAGACATGGCAAGGCCGCCGAGGTTGACGTCAGACATGGCAAGGCCGCCGAGGTTTACGCCAGACATGGCATGACCCCCGAGGTTTACGCCAGACATGGCATGACCCCAGAGGTTTACGCCAGACATGGCATGACCCCCGAGGTTGCACCTCCACATGGCATGACCCCCGAGGTTGCAGCTACACATGGCATGGCCCCCGAGGTTGCAGCTACACATGGCATGGCCGGTAATGCGTAATTTTGCGTTCCACTATAGAGTCTATTGGAACCCAATCACGCGACATCCGTGCTAAAAAGGGTCATGTACGAGCGAGAAGCTACAGCGACGAGCTACAGGCGACATTGAGCTGTGAGATGTGAACAACTCCATTGAAATGCATTGGACGAGCTACATAGAGCGATAGCGCATGGAAATAG